AAAAAAAACAGCCAACTAAAAGTGAAGTATTTGATGATTGTTCTGCTGATCACTACTGAAATGAAGGTTAAGTTAATTATCAGGATACTATCCTCTAATACCAGTTTCAAATAGTATACGTCATTCGTACAAAATTCCATTTCAATAGATGCTTCACAATCATAATTACTTCTCTATTATTTCGTTTATCTAATTTTGTTTCATTTTGCACATCAGTCTTAAGCAGAAGATTTGAAATCTTTTGTAATTTCTTGAGATAGAACCCCTTGAACACATCGAGAATACTGATATTTACCATTGATGTTCGTAGTCCACATTCCTGTCATTTATTTTCGTACTACTCCATGTACTGCTGCTTAGACACACATTTGTTTCTCCTCTTTCCAATCGCAGTATATGTTTAAAGTCCCATTCACTGGTTGTTAGCCATATAAATCAAGATTTGGCTACCGACAGCCCAGGATGGCCTTCTCGCTGTTTAGAAGAGAACAGTGAGCCCCTGTGTAAGTTCGAAAACTCACCCGGCAGGCAATCCTTTAGCAAATTATCAAAATTCTCAAAGCATATAGAAATGACTATCCATCACTTTACTGTATGTGAAATAAATTTAAACGAACAGGTATGAAGTTGCTTTTATTTTTTTTTATTAGAAGTAACCCTTTATCTTTATTACCCTTTGCAGTAATGGTTAAAGATAAGCGAATCTTTTACTTTTAGAAAATAAAGGTAAATGAATTATTCACTTTTAATGAATAAAGATAAAATGACCCTAGACGAACTTCTTTTGATCTATCCAGCGGATACTTGAGAATCTACATCAAGAAAATCATGCGCTATAGACAAAACTTGAGATCTGCGCAGGTTGAGAGCATGAAAAAAAAAGTTCGCCTGGGGAGCACTTTATTTTTGCAAATAAAGGTAAATAAATAAATAAATGCTTTTTTTTCTGAAATATAAAGATAAATGAAACATTTTTCTTTTGAATATAAAGATAAAATACAACAATAAAGGGTTCTTTTTTCAAGACAATAATGTTGGAAGTGCTCTAGTACCAGAGAAGCCATGTTCAGAATGCTTCTCATTATAAAATAAATGTAATTGTAATGAAAACAACTTAGTTGGGACATGATTTAAATCATTGTGTTTTCTTCAATGTAGCAGATTTCAATCAGAAAAGTGAAAATTGAATCAAAACAGATATCATATTCTGAATCAGTATTACAAATGCAGCAGATCTATGAATATTTCGAAATTCTTTTGAGATCTTTTTCTTTTTGTCAAAACATTTTATTGTATTCCCCTCAGAGTGTGGGTGTGAGTGTAATCGGATAATGACGTCTACACGCCCATCTACACCCACACCCACAAAAGAGATAGATGTTGCTAGCTAGTTTTGAGAGAGATGAATATGAATCTATTGGAAATCTGTTTAAAAAAGGAAATAGTTATTTGGAAAAGGAGAACTACGATGAAACTGTTAGAAAAAGGTAAATAATGTTCAATCTAGTCAAATCTTATAAATTCGACCGGTGGCAATGAGTTACATGAAAATTCTTGACTATTTGGGCTCATATGATTAATCATATTAATACTAATTGCAGCTAATGGAACACGTTCATGTTTGTCATTTGATAATGGTGAATGAAGTTGATTATCATCGAAATTCGATACAGTTTGTAGTGTAACAGATGCACGTCGTATTGGATGAGTAGCATCATTTACTGATTTTGGTGCATTTGCTCTATGTTCACTAGTTTCCTCTGGTTGATTCGAAAACGGACTTACTTCATTAATATCATTTATAAGACGTTGATGTTTGATTTTCTTTCGAAATTAATAATAACCAAAAACTAAACCAACAATAACAATAGTACCACCAATAAGACCCATGACAGGACCAACAATTAATCCTATATCACTTCCTCCATCGCTACTATCGAAACTTGATCTTGATGAAACAACATATGATTGACCATTAACATTCACTGATGCAAATCGTACACCAGCTATAGCATTTGGATTTGCCAAAAGCATAAGAGCGCCGTTCGCTATATTCTGTGCTGCACTAATAGTATTAGCGGCAAAGGTTAAACCAACTTGAATACAACCTACAAATTTCAGTACGTTAATTAAAATCAAAAGAAGTTCTAAACCTTTAATTTGACAAACCTTTTCTTAGAACAATATCACTACTAACAGGCATTTTAGTGATAAAAACTAAATCATTATAAATTGTGCATCGTAAAGGTTCAAGTTGATCATTTGCTACCAATGAATCACAATCACCTTCATAAGTTAGATTCGATGGTAGAAAATCGGTATAAACTTCAAGAACAGCTATAGAATATAAATTATAGTATATGATTTAAATGATTTCTCTAAAAACAAAACAAGAACTTACTTGAATTTTCTTTAACTAAAATATAATTTGACTTAAATGGAAAAGAATTTTGCACCATCTGTTGATGTTATTTGCAGTTGGATCATATACATTCCTACATAATTGATTGCTAAATTTATAGCTGTTATTGTATCTTCCATTGGATCAACAATAATTCTTGATGACGATGTTGTTATTAATGAACCAGTACTTTGATATTGTAATAAAGTATATAGTGAAACAGCAGCTATTCATGTAAAATTATCCCAATGAATATTTTCAATTTTTGTTTTGGATTTTTCATCAACAATCATAACTGTAAGATTAAATGTTTCATTCTTTGAAACAACATCAAGCATTACAACTTGCTTAGCAGCTAATACAGGATTTGAAACTGATACTGATAGTGAACTAACCATCAAATTAACATTTGTAACAAATGAACTACAAAAAAAAGAACAAGTAATAAAGAAAATCATTATTTATTTTACTTATCTATTAACGCCATATGGTGTAATAAAAGCAAATTGAATTTGATATGAATCATTTTCTGTTATACCAAATGATGTAAATTGTGTTTGTCCATTTGAATAATTAGCTATAACACCAATAACACTTATACCTGATGATCCAATAATACTAGCCACAACTTGCCATAGTTGATCATTTGAACCTAATTTTTGTATAATATTACCTGACGTATCAATATCAACAAGTACAGGTTGAATTTCACATACAGATTGTAATCGACATAATGATGGTGAAATGACTAACACTAATCGACTAATCAAACCTAATGATACTGTCGTTTGATTTTGTGATTCTTGAACAAATAAACCTAATATATTTGTAACATTTAAAGCTGGATCAGCCGCCCCATGCTGTTTGTAAATATATTCGATTGATAATAATTGATAATAGGGTGTGGGTGTGGATGTGGTCTGGAGTTAGTCAAAGTGTACATCCACACCCACACCCTCAAGATGCTCTTTTTTTATCGGCGAAACAAAAATGTTGTGTGACCTTTGTCTTTCTATTCGATAGAATGCCTTTCAATATCGATTCAATGTCAATGCAAACTGTTTTTGCAATTATCAATGCAATGTCGATGTCGAAAACTATTCATGATCGAACGTTCGACGTCATTGTCAACGAATTGCGTATTTGCGTTGAAAAAAATTTCCATTTCTGTTCTCAAAAACTTGATTTCAATTCTTTCCATGGATATTTATCCTTGATTATCGAAATATGAATTTGATATTATGAAATTCAAATTCGATTATTCGTTAAACGAAACATCAAAAGTGTCGACAATTCTAGTTTACAAGGTTTCGTTCGATAGAAACAAATTTCGTTGATTAATTTCGATAGATCGCTGTTTCTCGTCGAAATCTTGTTTTCTATAAGAAGATTTTTTATTTAATTGTTGACACCTCAGAGTATACTAAATGGAGATAAGAGTAAGTATCTTTGCTTATTCTTATCATTTAGTATTGCAGTTTTACCATTGCATGACTTATTTTAGCTTCAACATTTCTTTTTCTCTTCTGCGAGTATTCAATATCATTTTACTCCGTGCTCCTTTCATGATAAAGCCTTTTTTTTGACCGAAGGACAACACTTGGTATGATATGAGATGTCTATAAATAAACATCTTTCTCAGCAGATGTAGCAGAAGATTGATAAATCAGGTTGGTACAGCATTTTTTTATTGCGCATCTTTAGAAGTAAAGTTAAGGGAACATTATAAAAATGTTTCCAATATTTCATTGACATTTTATCTCAACTTTAAGCTTATATGACACTTTTTATTCATTGCGACTCAATTTAACAGAAATAAAAAACATCAGTTTTCTCATAACTTCCGATTTTTCTCGCAATTCTCTTGGTAAAAAGGTTGTAACTAAACTATCCAGGTAATGATCGTCTGCCTAATTGTGAAGTTTTCATCTAATTTGAAAACCTTTTTTCGCGTTGCACTGTGTTACGTGTTATGCAAAAAAACGGCATTACTTTTGGAAGAACTTACTCATGCGTAAAAAGTGTCAGAATTTTCTAGATAAATTGTTCATCTTCGCACTAAAAGCTTAGGCCAGAAATACAGAATACAAAGCCGCCAAAAAGTAATCGATGGTATATTTAGATAGTCGAAGAGAGACATACAAAATATTTATGTATTCTGTACTTAGATATATTCTGAATTCTAGTTTTAAAATGAGATCAGTCGATCGTGATACATGCATTGTGGCAGAATAGTTGGAGATTTATTGTTTTTTGTAGGAATATCTTCTATCTAACTGTCTTGTTGTTGTATCACCTTTCTTCAAAAACCGTAATATGTTATCTACGAAAACAAAATATTCAAATATAAGATAATTATTTAATATATCTATTTATTCATTAACATATGCATTTCAGATAATCTTGTTCTGTATTTCCATTGCTTATTCGGATTAGAAAGATCCAAGAAGCATATATTTTATCGCAGATTGTTACTCAAAGAAACCAACATTTTTGAACTGTATTACTTCTTTCGTAATTGCAGCATATTTTTTAATATAAGCAGTTTTATTGGTATTCTATCACACTAAAATCTTCATCATGTTTTGGCTCGTAATACCATTAATTTTGGTAATAATTTCCTATATAATTTATAAGAAAAACACTAAACCAAAGGAATTTTCTTCAAATGTCTCTCAATACGATCATGCCATAATTATCGGAGGTAGTTTTGGAGGAATGGTAAGTGCTGCTTACTTAACAAAATATTTCTCGCGAATAACAATCATCGAATCTGACGATGTATTAAATGATACATTAATGAAAGCTACACCTAATGAAATATTAGATTATCGTTGTAGTCTTGAAAATCCAGGATCAATAGGACGTTCAGGTATTGCTCAAATCTATCAAGCACATATACTCGAAGGTGAAGGATTTAAAATCTTCAGTGAATTATTCCCTCGATTATATGATAAATTATTTAATGAATACAATGTTCGTACTTATTCATTAAAAAACGAATGCAGATTCACTGTTAATGGTACATTATTAAATCAAAATTTAACAGAAGATATGAAATGGTTAGGTGTTGATCGTTTTACCTTAGAAATTGCTTTGAGAAAAGAATTATGTTTACAATTTGGGAATCAAATTGAATGGAAATGTAAATCGAGAGTAACACAACTGTTGGTTGATCAATCATTAAATATGGTTAAAGGCGTTAAATATCGTTGTAAGGAAAATACTGGTTCATCATCGTTTGATATGTATGGTGATTTTATTATTGATTGTAGTGGTCGTAACTCATCGTCAACTAAATGGTTAAAAGAGAGTTTGAACTTAACTGTACCGACTGTACAAATCCATTTTGGTTGTGGCTATGTTACATATGTTGGTGAAAGATATAGAACTGGAAATCCATCATTAGATTTAATGCCTGTGGTTTTTTGCACAGCAAATACTCCTGATAGAAATGTAGGTTGCTATGCAGTACCAATACGTACAATAAAACCAACAGATACGAATTCATTAGGAATATTAAGCACAAATGCCGTTTATTGTGTAAATTCCGAATTTTCACCAAATGATTCCTATGAAAATCTATTAGAATGGGCAAAAGAAAATCTTGATTTCGAATATTATACGATGTTAAAAGCAACCAAAGTATGTGGCCCATTGGTTTCATATCGTCGTGCAATCGACGATCGAAAATATGTCGAATTACTAGGGAAAAAATGGCCTCAAAATTATATATTATTAGGTGATTCAATGTGTACATTTAATCCAGTATTTGGACAAGGTATGACACATGCATGCCGACAAGCAAGAGAATTGACAAAAATATTTAGAGAAAATTGTCATAAATTAAGAGATATTTCTCATATTTACAATAGTCGTGCTTCAGTAATCAGTGAAGAATGTTGGCTTCTTTCAACTGCAACTGATTGGAAAACACCTGCATTAAAAGTAATAGAAACTAAAAAAAACGGTCAAATTAAAATTTATGAACGAGATGGTGATTTTGTTGCGACTAAAGATGATAAACCGCCATTACCTTTCATAGTTAAGTTTTTACAATGGTATTTGAGTTATTTTTTGCAATGTGCAA